TATCATCACTTGACCTCAGTCACATAAACAACCACCTCACCAAAAACAATCTCTACACACAGAAGAGTTCCCCACCAAGAGTTATCTCTCTTAGTGTATTAACACAATCTAAAAATATATATTAACACTATCAAGGAAAATTTTAAAATGGTCACATATGACAGGTAATCTCTCAAAGCACTGGAATCACATCTCAGTGATTTTTGAAGTAGATGCATAAATACTAACAAAGAAAAACACATGGACTTGTTTCCTATTGCCTGTCCTTCATCACTGAATCAATTTTATTCTTAATCAATAAAATATATCAAAAAATATTTCTTCCTTAACTTGTTTTTATTCCTAATTGCGTTAAGTGTTAATTATATTTTTGAAAGAAAATCCAAAACATTATTATGTAGTGTTTCACAATTTTATGACAGCTAGTGTATGGATTAAAACTAATCATGTTAAGATTATGATCTAAAAGGATATTAAAACAAAACACTACAATTATCACAAAGAAAATTCAAGGAACCTACAGAAATCTTACACACTTCCTGTAGAACCATTTCAAAGTTTAATATGTGGTTACTTTTCATAATTATGTTTCTTATTTAAATAAAAAAAAATTGTTATTTTCTATCTGAGACCAAATCACATACTGCCAAATATTCAATTTATGAGTTTGAGTTTGCAAACATATCTCTGCAAATTGGGAGGAAGGGGGGGGGGGAATGACACATTTTATTACTTTTGCTATCAAAAGCAGGACTGAAAATTGCTGATTTCAGGGACTTACCTAGCTATAGCTGCTTACAGACGAAAATGATGGTCACATGTTGCATAAGACAGGTAGTCGATGAATGCAGGTAAAATATAATGAAAGATTTCTAAGGAGGAAATTAATGGTTGCATATGACAGGAAGTTAATATGATAATATCGATGGTTGCAATGACAGGTTTGACTGTATGTTGTAGAATTCTAATCCCATCAATTTAAATAATCCTATGGTCTCTTCTCAAATCATTTATTTTTCATACTCAAGATTGATTACATTATTTTGTTTTGAGCTTACGCACAGTCATGTTTAATGTTTTTTGCCAAAGTTTTTATATTTAATCATGAATAATTTTAGAGTGTCTAAATTAAGTGAAATCTGGTCTTCTCAGTGGTCCAAATTCAGTTCAAGTTGCATAGACCACTATCATAAGATATTGCAGCCAAAATCTTAATATTAAGGGGATTTGATGGTCTATTTATTTTTTTTTTATTTTTTTTTAATTTTATTTTATTTCTTTTTTTTTTTTTGCAATGCACCAATAGTGCAATTTTTATTTAAAAAAACCCCAACAAAAACCCTAAAAATATTCAGATCTATGGAAATTTAGCAGCAGAAAATTTTGACTTTGACCTTGTGACCAAGAAGTAGTCCCAGCTATATGAGTTCTCTTACAGAACAACCAAAGATACATCCACCAATCCACACCTGAAATTATAGCACAGAAGTAAAAGCCACAGAATCAATAACCTTTGATGTTACCAGAAAGTAATTCTGTCCCACACATAGTGCAAAGATGCTAACCCAATCCCATCTAAAATCTTATCACAATATTTATGCTCCTTGATCACCCCATAAGAGCTAAACTCGATGACCATCTTAACACAATTGAATTCTCAGCTAGGTAACTGCATGGAAACCAAAGTGGGCTAGGGCTGTGTATTGAGCCAAAAAATTCGATACGATACAATATTTTATAATGCGATATCCGATAAATTGGATTCTTTAACAAGTCTATCAAAAAAGTCTTATAATTCATTTAATGCATAATTTTTATAAAAACTAATTGTTTTATAGCGCATTTTGAAGTTCTTGTCTCACTGTCATAACAAATTACACTTCAGAGCTCCAGATAATTTTTTACCTCAAAGTGTATTTACTCCCTGATTTTCAAATCAATGCAGATTTTGCTTTTCAGCAAAATAATCAAAGAGTATTTTGTTAATCTATTTCTCTTTTAACATCTAATCTTGGACAGTGATCAGAAATGGCGGCGAGAATGTTCGAGTAACTGCCGTATTACGTTTTCAACAAGATTTTTAGCTTGTTATCGAAATAAGTGTTTTTGAAAGAGGAATGTAAAAAAAAAAAAAAAAAAAAAAAAAAAGATAGTTTCTGCATTAATCAATTAGGTCAGGGACCTATATACTAAATACCTAGTATATAGGTCCCTGATAAGGTTAATGAAATTTTAAAAATTGTCAGCTTTTTGCTATAACTGAGAAACATTTCGTTTTTTTTTTTTTTTACCAGAAAGACCATACGATAGGCAAAGTTACCAGGGGCACACTGAATTTCATTTAAGATTAGGCCTATATCGATCGTAGCAAAATATCCAGCCCCGTTGTTTTCCATTTTGTTTGTTTGTTTGTTTTTTAAATCAAAAATATATATTTAGGTTTTGCAATATAAATGTTGGCATCGAGGTAAAAGTTTTAGAGTTACTCCCGTTTGCATTAAAAGTTCGCGTGGCGCTATTTAAAGCACAGGAGCATGTGAAAGGCAAAAAAACAATATTATTTTCATACCATTAATAAAAGTTGTCGGCGGACTTTAGATGATATTATTGCTACAGAAAAAGCTAAATAAACAAGAACTGTTTAATAAACAGTGATAAAGAATAAATTATACACCATGCATGTTTTTGCCCAATTTTGACAATATCGACCTGTACGCGTCAAGAACGAAAATTTGGATGTTATATGAACAGTGGAAATCTGTGATATTTTTAGACAAAGTACAAGTATTTAATATTCAAATCTTTCTCTTGAACTCTATTTCGGCTTAGGTTATTCCGAATTTGTGAAAACAATATGTTAAATAATGTTGTCTATGTATTTTGTTATATTTATCTAAGATGATTATATCATTATTGATCAATTTTAATTCAAAACAGGGAAAACTAGAAAACTGACCAGTCAGCAAGGGCCCCGCCGAGGGGTAGAAATATAAGGGTGCAGCTTACAGAATGAGAATTTTAATTGATTACAAAAATTAACAAATATACAAAGAAGAATATGCAATAACAACTGTATTTATAAAATTTCAAGATAATTCCTAAATATCCAACAACCTGTAAAGAGTATCCCTGTATTTACATAAGGCAGTAAAAAACATCAATCTATAATAACTCAATTAAATGTATATTTAAACAAGAATAAAGCATGTGTTTTATAAAATGCCAGCCTTCAGTGAATGCAAATATCACCCAGGCTTGACCTTAACTTCAAAACAAACATCAGTTGCAGACAAAGGTTAATTTACCTTAAAGTGACAAATAAAGATAAGCTTGGAAAATTTTCTGCCCCAGACAAGATAATTAATTGTACTGCTCTCTCATCCTTTTCTTCCAAGTTTACAACAAGAACTTTTTCAGTAATGATAGAATGAGTTTATTATCGGACTACCTGTTAAAATTAATAGTACATGTATTCTTGAATTACATAAGGCAGCAAAAAAAAAAAAAAAAAGAATCAAAAAAATAATTAAAAAACATATCTTGATGTACATCTTGTCTTTAGAATTCAATAAAATCATAACTCATTGTGTATTTTACCAAAATAAAGTATGAACATTTTTTAAATCCACATTTCAGAGAATGTAACCATCATTCAGAATTGACCTTAACTTCAAAACAAACTTCATTTGCAGACAGAGGTGTTAATTAATCTCAGTTTGACAGAAACAGATAATGCTTTGGATTTTCTTCTAGAGGAAAGCTAATTAATCCCATGGGACTAGTTGCAGCTTTCATACTTTACAATAGGAACATTCTCAGCAGTTATCTCTCTTTGCCCTGGCATTCATTCTAATGTAAAGTTAAGGAATCTACCCCATCAACCCAGCTCCAAACTAGATGACATAGAGAACCAAACTTAGCATCAAAATATGTCTTACTGCCCCTTCAACCAACATACCAAATTTGAACTTAATTGGTCAACTACAAAAAAAGTTATTAGAAAAAAACAGAAAATTTGTGGATGGAAGAATGACAGACGGACAGACAGACAGAGTGATTACTATAGGGCACCCGCAAATCCTTGCGGGGCCCTGAATATAACCTTTGGTGATTGAAATTCCCAACTTTTTCACAGAATTATAAGAAAATCTGCCTGTCCGATACATATTGGAAATTATTTTTTCGATACGATATATTCTTAGATATTGATACGTATCGATTAATCAATATATTGATACAGCCCTAGAGTGGGCACGATAATCTTAATTGTATACATCCTGTTTGCCCCTCCATTTTTATTTGTCACAGGGCACAGAATGCTGCAATATTTGCACCTTAAAGTACACCATCACAGCATGCTGCTCAACTGAGCCACTGTATAGTAGAACAGTTTCTGGCATTGTTGCTAACTCTTCCTTACCTGTGCTGGAGCTATCCTTAGAGAGGGTTCTCTGGCATTGTTGCTAACTCCTCCTTACCTGTGCTGGAGCTGTCCTTAGAGAGGGTTTTCTGGCACTGTTGCTAACTCTTCCTTACCTGTGCTGGAGCTGTCCTTAGAGAGGGTTTTCTGGCATTGTTGCTAACTCTTCCTTACCTGTGCTGGAGCTGTCCTTAGAGAGGGTTTTCTGGCATTGTTGCTAACTCTTCCTTACCTGTGCTGGAGCTGTCCTTAGAGAGGGTTTTCTGGCATTGTTGCTAACTCCTCCTTACCTGTGCTGGAGCTGTCCTTAGAGAGGGTTTTCTGGCACTGTTGCTAACTCTTCCTTACCTGTGCTGGAGCTGTCCTTAGAGAGGGTTTTCTGGCACTGTTACTAACTCTTCCTTACCTGTGCTGGAGCTGTCCTTAGAGAGGGTTTTCTGGCATTGTTGCTAACTCTTCCTTACCTGGGCTGGAGCTGTCCTTAGAGAGGGTTTTCTGGCATTGTTGCTAACTCTTCCTTACCTGGGCTGGAGCTGTCCTTAGAGAGGGTTTTCTGGCATTGTTGCTAACTCCTCCTTACCTGGGCTGGAGTTGTCTTTAGATAAGGTTTTCTGTGACACCCAGGGCCATTTGTCCTCCGTCAGTACAGGGTACCCTACTTCTGTCCCCGCTAACACCCGTACACTGTAAACTCTGTCTGGCAGAAGACCTGGTCAAAAACAACAGTCAGTCCAATAAAACAAAACAACAGGTTACAATTAACCAGTAAAATTAACGACAAAGTGCTTAATTTTATAGAACTTGTGTTTCTCATTCATGAATTAAGATTTTTATGCAAAATAAACTGAAAATCATAATGTGTCATTTGGATTGGGAAATATAGGGTTGCCAATAGCATCTACAACATACAATATGAAAATTTTAAATAAGTCTACATTTTTGTAAAGCTATATTTTTAACTACAATTATGACATTGCCTTCTTTCATGATAAAGTAAAAACCTGTCACCCTAGCTGCAGTTTTAACTATAACCCCAGCATTCCCCAGGCTGTGTACAATTACAATGGGTATAAATATTAAGTTTCAGAAAAATTTAAAGCTTTTATAACCTCTGTTGTCAATTTTACCTATAGCGTACTTGATCTGAACTCAGTACGTTTTGCATACATTTGTTGCAATTTCTTTTAATTTCAGATAATCTTTGTCATGATAAAATCAGCCATTTGAATGTAGATATAGAATCAAAAGTTACATCAAAAAGAAAAAAGTGCAGTGGATGGGATTCTCCTTTTAATACTGTGCAGTCGTGTATAAATCATTATGTTTAGTCTTCATGCTTGCCATTGCAGAATAGAGAGTACACCTTCATCTTCAAGATAAATTGAATTGATTTTTTTTTCAAATATAAGTACTTGTATCAGTGAATTTGACAAAAAATATACTTTAAAAGGGAAAGTTTCTCTCTACTTGTTTCATTTTTTCACAACTTTTTAAAAAATTTTATTCTCCCATCCTCATAGACAAAAATGAATCTTAATCTAGCATTTGTTTCTTTCAAATAAAAATTCTTATCCCATGAATTGAATAATATGTATTGTTTATCAAATATACCATAACCTAATGCTCCATAACAGTCAATGTAAATGAGGAAACTTTAGTCTACACTATACTTTCATGTTTTAAGGTTAACTCAGTTTAAATCATCAGACTTCTCCTTTGTGTTTTTTTAAGGTTGACCTATTTATATACAAGTCCTCCGAAAATGAGTGACAGATTCGTACTACATTGTATGGCTCAAATAAAGATTTTTATGGCATCTTTCTTCTTCTAGTATGGCAGCTATTATATTGAATATATCAGTTAAAGGAGGCCTCAATAAACACCTTACAAAGAATAGTGACACCTGTGAAATCGAATGCACAGGGAACAACAATTAGGGGGTACCACAGACACGATCTTTGACCCTCTCTTACAATCACCCATTGTAAGTTTCTCTTGTATACTACAAGTATTTACAGAACCCAGGCTCTATTAGAGCTATTTAAATTTCCATTTATTATGCTGCATCAGTCTGTAATTAAGCAAATGTGAAACTTTAATTAGTAAAACTTACATATTTCATTTCTAGACAGCTAATGATCAAAACTATCATCAACAGGGGTCAAAACAAGATTCACATTCCTAGATAGTAAAAAAGACAGAAAAAGAAAGAGCCATAACTTGTATAACTAGATATCATTGAGATGGTAGCCATCTCAAAGGGCCCCGCTTTCAGCAACGAACATGAAAATGTAAGGTAGCTGAAAAGGGTTTATTTTGAAGAGGAACATTTGTGTACTATTAAGGGATGTGTTGTTTGAGTCTAAAGGGCTTCTATGTCATCCTTGTTATAATAAAAAATGGCATGAAAATCACAAGTGCTCCATACTCTCTCTCAAAAAACGGTCCAAAAATCATGAATGTTGCATATCCTCTATGAGAATTGTTGCATATCCTCTATCAAAATATGGAAGGAAAATCACAAATGTTCCATACCCTAAGTCAATTGGTAAAGTTTGAGGCTGACTGGACTTAAGGGAAAGAAATTATGCACCGAACAAAGATTTTAAACAGAGAGGCTATTTTTGACCCTTGACCTAAAAACTTTGTTCAAGGTCACTGCACATCCATTGACCAGTGGCACTCTGTGAGTGAAGTATGAGCCACATTGGACCAAGGGGAGAGAAGATATGCTCTGGACAAGGATTTTTCATATAATTCTGCTATGACCTTAACTTTAAACCTAGAAACATGGTTCAAGGTCACTGCACACCCTTTACCAAAGGCACTCTGTGGGTGAAGTATGAGCCAGATTGGGCCAAGGAGAGAGAAAATATGCTCCGGACAAGAGATCTCGGATGGACAGATGGATGGAAGGACGGACAGACAGACTGATCACTATAGGGCACCCGCAGAGCGGGGTCCTAACAAAACCTATAAGTAAGTCTGGTGCTGGGTATAATAGACCTTAAATTTGTAAGCAGCCTTAAAATACACACCAAAACTTGTCATTAAGTTTATTATGAGGGTATCAAGTCTCTCAATGTTAGACCAGAGAAATCTCTTGGAAAAACCAGCAGGGTTATAAAGTTAAGATGAGTGTATCAGGTCTTGTTGAGGTTAGACCACATTTAAGAGCTCAGAGAACACAGTAGGATTAAGTCTGACATTAAACTATTTACTCCTGTGTCAAACACATGTCATCCTAACTTCACAAGGATCCTGTATCTCACCATTATAATTACTTCTGTTTGTTTCCCTAAGCCTTTAAACACAGCTAGGTTCTTGTTCTTTAAACCTTTTAAATATCTTTAACACCAGAAATTGTTAGCAACATTCTCTTTAACAGATGTTTATCTGAATCAAGAACAAGGACCTGCAATTTTAAGTTTATGATATTTTAGCATTTAGCATGGGCTCAGAGATCAGTTTTGTAAATCCCAATAACTTGTAGTTCTCTCTTAAAAGACTGGTGCGAGTATGTTGATAAAATCTGCAGTTTTATATATAGGCTTTTTTTCTGGTTCTATATGTTTCCTTTAATTCAAGAGGCTCAGGATATATTATCTCAAGTACACTAAACAATTATAGAAGTTCAAGAGCCCCTGAAATAAACATCCTCTAGCTGTAACACATCTATATACACTGTATATATGACATAATCTCCTATAAATATCAATGTAAGTTACCACTTGGCATTTTTGTACATTTTTTGTACCATTATAACCCTAATGTTAAAAAATCAATACTCTGATGCTTTTTTGATATGAGGTAGGGATCAAATTAAGTCAGTAGGTAAAAATATCTTGACAGCTTGAATAAGGTTATTTATAGTAAAACTCGGTTATTCCAAAGTCCTGGGGGCCTGTTAATTTACTTTGCTATATCCATAATTAATTATATCCATATGATGAATTTGTTAAAGTATATATATCCAAATTCTCAATACACATTTTCATTCCAGGTTGAATTCTGAATATTTTCAGGGAAATATTAAATGCAACACTTATTTTGGAGAACTAAAGTTTACCAATGAACTTTAAATTTCAAAATGAAAACTTTAAGGTTGCAAATGATAAGTTATATCTTAAGGTAGTCCGATCCTCAGGTTCTGAAAATCAGCTTCTAAGTAATTGAAAATTCTCACAAAAATGTCTCTGATTTCACTTAGTAAAGTGAATTTACCCATGGAATTTCTTCAAAGTTCATCATTATAATTAATCATATTACATAGGAAAAATTATCAGATCTCAAATATATTTTCAGGAAATGTGAATAAAAACACCAGCTATGCATTTCCTAATTGAAAATTGATCAACAAATATAATTTAGGATAGAAAAATATAGGTATCCAGGCATTTGGAGAAAATTGCATCTTTTTTATGCTTGTAGTATTTTAGTTCTTCTTTTTTACTTCAATTATCATATAATACACAATGTAAAAAGCTTGTGCTATCATTGCTAGACATCACATATCACATCTAATTTCATATCATGCTAATAAGCAGTGGTATCTAATGCTAGACTAAAGGAAATTCGATTTCTCTAATAATGAATTCATTTTTTTTCTTTTATGGGGTACAAATGTCAACTTTTTACAAGACCGTTTCTAAGACTTCAAAGAACCTTGAATCATATTAAGATGCATAAAATGAAAATTGTTGCACGAAAAGATCTCAATTTCAAGCTTCATTTTGAGACTTTTTAAATAAAATAACAAACTTAAGAGTTATCCTTCCTGGCTGAGGATCGGATATCCTTAAGGACCATGTGGTGTGTGTTAATTGTTATTTTTATCTTCTACAGGGCACAAAATCAATTTGCTACTTCTGAATTCATTATTACTGTGAAGTTTTACAAGGAATTGTCAAGAATTTTGCCTGGAATCTCAAAAAAAAATTATTTTATCTGTGAATTTGCTCTATATGTATCATACTAAACAGATTTATCTAATCAAGATTATTTTCTCAGAAAATTTGGATTACAGATTCTAAGAATCCCCAGAGAAAATCATCTGTACCTACTGAAAGGTACCATCTTAAAATTTTGTTACCATTAATGGTGTGTCATTGTTACCTTTAATGGTGTAAGTGTTTTATTGCTACCTTTAATGGTGTGAGTGAGTGTGTCATTGTTACCTTTAATGGTGTGAGTGAGTGTGTCATTGTTACCTTTAAAGGTGTGAGTAAGTGTGTCATTGCTACCTTTAATGGTGTGAGTGTGTCATTGCTACCTTTAATGGTGTGAGTGAGTGTGTCATTGTTAGCTTTAATGGTGTGAGTGAGTCTGTCATTGTTACCTTTAATGGTGTGAGTGAGTGTGTCATTGTTACCTTTAAAGGTGTGAGTGAGTGTGTCATTGCTACCTTTAATGGTGTGAATGTGTCATTGTTACCTTTAATGGAGTGACGCAGGTAGGTTAAGGCTTCCTGTAGAATATCAGAGTGCACTCTGTGCCTTCACATCTCTGAACTACCAAAATATGACGTCATAATGGAAAATGACGTCAAGTCACTGCAAACTTGAGGTGTTAGGACGGGGAGAGTGTCATAAACTTAAAACTTTATTTCAAACTACATGTAAAATGCTAGATAGCTATTGCAAAATTCACGGGTCGTTAAAGGTTTTTTTAAGTTTTATATATGTCTGAAGATTTTAAAAATACACCGCTTACCTACCCGTGATTGAAATTCAGCATTTTCAAAATGCTTATGAAAAATATACTTTTGAAATGCACTCTGTTTTATACCCATGGTTGGAGGTAGAATTTATTTTGTGTGTATAAAAAGAGTCTGGCGCAGGTGATTAATGAGGATTAATCTGAGAATTTTTGTGGAAATCTGTAAGAAGAGGTTGTTCTCTAACTGAATCTTGCTTGGGAAAAATGTGTGTTGGCTTTGTTGTAATACAGATTACAATATTGTGTAGAAAATATCCTCAAATTTGTAGGTAAGTTGAATTTCTTAGGAAATATTTTATACCTAAGTAATACTATGACTTTTCCCAAGCACATTTCGGATACACAAGGATACGATGAGTTTATTTATATAACAAAATGTTAATAATTATTGTGTTAATCAGCTGCGCCGAAGCGATTTATATGGAACACTTCAAAAAATTATAAATGACCGTCACGTGATCAACAAAGTCATGTGATATCATAACAAATATGTTAATATATAGCTGAGGAAACCCTCTATATAAATTGGGAGTACTCAAGTTCATTACTTATAAATTAAAACTAAAACCGACCTTGCAATGACATATTATGTTTTGAGCCATTTTAAAGCTTCTGGAAGCCTTAACATAGCTGCGGAGTGTGTCATTGCTACCTTTGATGGTGTAAGTGAGTGTTTCATTGCTACCTTTAATGGTGTGAGTGTGTCATTGTTACCTTTAATGGTGTGAGTGTGTCATTGCTACCTTTAATGGTGTGAGAGAGTGTGTCATTGCTACCTTTAATGGTGTAAGTGAGTGTGTCACTGTTACCTTTTATGGTGTAAGTGAGTGTGTCGTTGTGAATCTCTTCCACCTTTTGTAGGTTTTCTCCGTGTAACCGACTATAGATTTTGTATCTTGAGATCACCCCTCTTCTTTCTGACTTTAACAGTGGGGACCAGTCAATTGTGATGGTTCCCACACTAAGACTTGAAGTCTGGATTTTGGGGGCAGCACTAGGAACTGAAAATTAAAAAGACCAAGAATGTTTAGCTGATTTATATATATGTTACAAATTTACTAGAATACTATAAAATTAATGTACATAAATGTCCACTCCAAATTTAGTGTAATCTTTAGTTACTACCTTTTCAACTGCATGATTAGTGCAATCATACATTTTAATACATGAGTCTTAAAAGGATGTGTTAGTTTCATCACTTACTAGTATACACATTAATAAGCGTTCAAGACGCAGCATGAAAGGGGCTAAAAAATGAAAACCACTAAATTAAGGTAACATTTACAGTATGCAGTATTAATTTCTGTCACATGTATATGTTTATATATACAGAAATCCAAACATTTGTCACTATAGTTCCATGTGTGTTGTTGCATAACTTCCAGGCAATCTGGCACTGTGTAGTGGAGGTGTGGTAAAATGCATTAAGCATCTGACACAAGTTGGCATGCAACATGACTTGGGGTATCAAGGTAATTAACTTGGAGAGAGGGGTTAGGAATGAAATAAAATACTACAAGGGACCTCACCTGACTGTAATGTGGTGGCAGACACCACTGCGGAATTCTCGCTGGAGAAGTCGCTGTTGTAGGCCCGTATATAGAAGTGGTATGTGGTGTATGGTAACAGCTGCTGTACGAGATACTGGTTACTCTGTTCTACCATTTGTTCTGATCTCTCCTCTGTGGATAAACAAGGTTACAGGATGTAATACATATTAATAGGACTTTTCTTTACTTGTTCTCACCAAGAGTTGAATTGTAAAGTTATTTGTACAAACCTACATTAAATATCTGGCAATCTATTACTAAGAATATATTCATATTAATAATGAAATAAAACACAGTTAGAGGGCTAAAATGCCCAACCCCTGTCACTTTTGTGAATAAAATATTGTTTAAAAATAAAATAAAACATAAGGATCATCATCTCTCTGTTTGCACATTTAAACTCTGCTTTAATGCTAATGATTTACCAGAAGAAATCAAATTCATAATAAATTGCAAGCATGTGCAGCATAACTAATAGGGCCAAAATTTTATAGAAATGTACTTCTTGACAATTCCAGTATAGTTACAGTACATGGTATAATCAATCAATCAGTATATTCACTCAAACCATACAACATGGTACATGAGGGACATAAAGTATAAATCATATCTATTAAATCGTCAGAGGTACATACAACATATATATACATAAATATTTTATGACTGCATGTGAAAGAATAGACATATAGTATTAACAGTATGTAAGTATTCAATGCAAAGAAAGAAAAACACCAGGAGGACAATTAAGGGGAACAGACAGTCTCAAAGATTTTTGAAATAAAAGTACAAATTTTCTTAAAGATTTAACATTTGAATTTGCCATGAGTTAATAGAACTTTCCAACATTTAGTCTACTGCAGTAACTACTATGTAAAAATTCTTTCCTAGTTTCTGAAAAAGCTGAACATTCTAAAATGTAGTGGTATTCATCACCTATTTTTTTTTTTTATAGAGATATCATAATATAATGATTACATAGAGTGAATACATGGTAAAGTTATTAAATGGTAAAAGTGATTACATGCTAAAGTGATCACATGGTATAGTGATTATATGGTTAATAAGTGACCGTGATAATGATTATATTGTAAAGTGATTTCATGGTAACGTGATTACATGGTCAAGTGATTAAATGGTATAGTGATTACTGTAAACTGATTACATGGTAGAGTTTACATGTAATCATGGTATAGTAATTACATGTTAAGTGACACTAAAAAGTGATTACATGGTAAAGTGACATTGTACAGTGATTACATGGCACTGACCATTTGTGTCTGGGACAATCCATTTATAATGGACTGTGTACACAAACACATCACAGCAGACAGAGGGTTCCCAGGACAGGAGAATCTGGGACTCTGATACTGGCCTCGCCTCTACAAGCCTCGGGGGAGAGGGAGCATTCTCTGTAACATACGAAAAACAGTGGTCAACAGGTTTATAGGAACTAAAAATCAGTACTCAATATGGGGGAAATTCTCAACCGCTTTTAACCTTGCATGATGAATTAAAAACAGACTTTATTATTAATCTTTAAAATGGCAGAATTATATGGGATGAAATTATGCGAAGTATTTCTTATGAGAGAATATAATTTAAATTAAATGGAAGAACCCAAACTGTCAGTCTGTACATGTTGAATACAAGCAAATATACTGTTTAATGTGAATATAATTTATAGGTTCATGTTTTCTTTTTTCGGTATCTAGTTGACTGTTTCATGCATGAAGGAATCCTGAACATGTTTGTAGGATATCCAGTAAATGTCCTGACCAGGAGTTTGAATCTTTGTTACATATAAGAGACAGAACAGCTGTAACTTGACCAACGTTCCATGTGAACTTACTGCCTAGGGTGACCTGGATCCTGGCTGTGGATGTTTCAGATCCATATGGATTTTCAGCAATACACTGGTAAAATCCAGAATCCGACACTCGGCTCTCTATCACTAACTGACCATTGTTGTCTTTAAACTGTAAACACATTGTATTGAAACATTATACCAGTTACCTATGGTCATTTCAAAGATTTACAGAAATATGTCAACATATCACAGGAATGTTAGATATTCAGTATAAAATATAGCACAAAGAATGTAAACATTGTGGGGTTATGTCAATTATTTCTGCTGGTAATAAAATATAAAATATTAATACAGTTGAACTTCAGTATCTCAAACACTAGCTGATATCTCGAAAACCATGGATATGTCAAAGTGATTTGGAAGTCCCAACCTCTTATTTTTTATATTTAAGGCCAACATTTTTTTATTTTTAGGTTTACAAACCCGCCGCTCAAGTTTTTGAATTTTCAGGAAATTAAAAAATAAAATTGAGAAAAATGGGATTTTTTCTTTCCGATCTCCTACAGAACTAATTTTCATTCTGGTGTTCGTAAACCTAAAAATAAAAAAATGCTGGCCTAAGTATTTTATTCTGGATACTTCTTGATCCCAACGAGTTCAAGATATCAAAGTTTGACTGTTAATAAATTTACAGAAAATACATGTGAAGCATTTGTACATGTTTTATTTTGTCTGTGGATCTAGAGAAATGAAATATGCTTGAAGAGATGATCAACAAAAGTTACTAACCACAACGTGTCCAGCATCCTCCTGTAGTCTCTGTCCATTGTGATACCATGTGATGGAGGGGGTGGGTCTGCCCTGGGCACTACAGTATAACCTGATTCTGTTGGCCACTAGAAAGTTGCCACTGCTGGGTGTCTTCAGCAGGGTGGGAGGATCTACAAAATCATAGACAGAAGAATCAACAAAAAGCTAAGTTTGAGCTCAGCTGAAGTCATGCACATGTCATAATTAAAGAAATAGAAATATTAGATGAAAATAAAAAGGCCTGATCCAGAGATTTACTAGCAAAAAAACATATGTCCATTCATTTTATACATTGTTCTATCGATCATCAAGATTTATAAAATATAGAAATTTGATAAAAAAATTTAAAAGATAATAAATCTTCAAAACACATGCAATCTAATAGAAGATAAAAATTACATCTTCTGGTTCAAAAATCTAAATTTTTTACTAAAATTCTTAAACGTTTCATAGTTAAACTAAACCGAAATGATTGCTGAGTGACCACTACTGTGTTAAAAGTAATGAAAGTCTGTTTTATATCAATCTTCATGTAAAACTGTCCTCCTTAATCAATTCATGTTGTAATATAATATCACTAATCGTGACTAAGAAGTTTAGAACCCTTTGTCATAATATGTATGAAAATTTCAATATAGTAACAACCTCACTTCAACACACTCCCACACGGTGCATGGAAATCCATTTCGTTTGGAATATATTTCTTTCTAGAAGACAAAGTGTCCCCATGGGTAAATCTTGCAATCTTTTATTATGTAATACAGATTATGTATGGCAATAACACCTCAGATATTACAAATGAAAAAAAAAGTGACTTAATATTTATCAGAGAAGAAAAAATAGAAAGTGAAAATTGCCACGTACATACATCCTCCACAACCCCCCCCCCCCCTTCCCAACAATGTTACTCCCCTCCCTGATTGATTAGTTTTTTCTACATGGTGATTGGCTGGTTAAACTTAAATGCATGTACACTGTACTTGCCAGGTCTTGGACTGGTGAGGTTATGACAGCATGCACAGGTAAGTTTTACGAAGAATGATTTTTGCAGCATATTGCTCACAGGCAAATACTAGTAGTCACCTCTAATTGTACATGGCTTATTATGACAGAATCATACCACAGGACTAAATATTATCACCACTGCTGTGACTTAATTATTTATCTATTCTCAGAAGAACCCACACCCATGGCAAAGTGGAAGGCAGTTATTTAGCAGTTTCTTAACCTTAACAGTTGAACCATCTTAGCAGTTTATAAGCAGTTTCTAAACCTTCTCTGCACTGCTTATGGCATGTTGGGCCCACAATAAACGTTTGAATAAAATAGGCAGTTTTCTCAGCCTTAACAGTTGTTAGGCAGTTTTGTGCAGTTCGTTAGCTGTTCATAGGCAGTTCATAAGCAGTTATTTTGGTAAGATTTTTCAGGATTGGTTGCTCCCTTAGATATAACTGTTTAGGTACTGCTTATTAAACTGTAAAGCTACTGTTTTTGTACTGCTTAGTTAACTGTTAGACAACTGCTTAATATGTACTGATAATTAACTAGCTGTGAAGCAATCTCATTTTGAGCACATGCATATATTTCCTGAAAACTGTAATTTTTAACAGAAATAAAATCCATTAATTGGGCCAATTTTAAACATACAATTTATATAACTCATAATACTACAAAATTAATGTTAAAACAATCCACATTATGAAAATTAATTAATCCATGTACTTGTAATTTGGGTTAAGCTACATCAACAATTTCAATATCAATATAGATAAAAAAGGTACATATTTTTCTAAAACATTAGTTGTGGTTAAATAAAAAAATTTTCAGCTTATTGTAGTTAAATGGTTCTTAAAAGGTGCACTGGAAATACAGTCCCTGAAACGTTCTACTTTCCCATTTTTCCGTTCGCTCACCGTTCGTTCATCGTTCGTTCAGCGTGCGTTCACCGTTCGTTCACCGTGCGTTCACCGTTCGCTCTCCGTTCACAGTTTTGCGTTCACCGTTCACCGTGCGCTCGCGTTCACCGTTCACAAAGCGTTCAGCGTTCGCTCTTCGTTCCGTTTACTTTGCGTTCACCTTGCGTTCAGCGTTCACCTATCGTTCAGTTTTCATTGTCATTCGGAACTCCGAAGTGAAAGGACTTATCTTTTTGTAGTAAAGGAGTTACAGGTTTTTTTTAATTTATTAACTAACATATCGTGTTTGAAGAATCATTATTTCATGAGGAAAAATATCTACGATATATATTTTTATTATTCTAACTTAGCTGTTAGGTTATTTATTAAATTACTCTGGAAAATAAATGTTGTTACAAGCACATTATGTACCTATGTAGAACAATGCTGAAATATTAAATTTAACTAAGGGCAATGTGCAAATACTTCAAGCACTGCAACATTTTGTTGTTTTGTTAAAGACGACAAATCGTTAATGGAGATATAATAATTACGCAGCAAAATTAGGAAAATATTTATTTCTATTACGTTTTTTTTTCTTCAAATACAACAGAAAATATAATAGAACTAGTTCTGAGAGTTATACATAGTACTGCGGATATCCTGTTAATTTATTATCTTTAGAACGAATTAAAATGATAGTGTGGTTAAAGGAAATATTTATTTAAAATGTAATGCACTACAGAATTTAAATCCTTCTTCACCGTAACTTTATATGTTTGCCATTCGATATGATTAATACCCCCCCCCTTTCCCCCTAAATCGGTGACTTAGTCAGTACCGTATTTCCAGAATATTTTAATTAACATTTTAAAGAAAAAGCTACGGTCTTTTTTAGAACAAAAATTTCAGTCTCAAAACAAACATGCATCTAAAAAAGTCACAAAACAATAGTAGATCAAAAGTACACGTGTCGGCGGTGGTATTTGAAATTGACAGAGAGTATGTTTCACATTCAAGTGTTAATGCCCAATGTATTTTACTAATTTATTATTCAAATGTTGGAATCAAATCTAGAAATGATAAAAATAAATGTTATAACTTGTTGGAAATACTCGCACTTCGTCTTCGATGTGACGAAACTTTCACACCTGCACAGTGTCGAATGATTTTGATTGACAGGACAAGCACGTGGACTTCGTGTGAACTTGAAGCAGGAAAATACTTCAGCGTTCGGCAACAATTGCAATGTTTTAATGCGATAAAAATCGTGTGATTAAAAACTTACCGGTAATGTGCATGCATCGTCTTTCTTAGGACAATTTTGGAGAATTTATTTTATTGACTTATTTATTCATTCATTAATTTGTTTACTTATTTATTATTATTATTATTTTTTTTTTTTTGGCACCTGACATTATAACACAATAAAATAGTTTCAGTGCAAGGAAAAGATCAGAGGCATTCCGAATATATCGTTCATCTTGCGTTCACCGTTCGTTCACCGTTCACTTTGCGTTCGCGTTTGCGCTCCGTTCGCGTTCTGCGTTCGCTCACCGTTCAGCGTTCACACATCGTTCACCAAGTTGCGTTCAGCGTTCACACATCGTTCACTCACCATTCGCTCTGCGTTCGTTCAGCGTTCGTTCACCGTTCGTTCAGCGTTCGCTCACCGTTCAAGTGGGAAAGTAGAACGTTTCAGGGACTGTATAATATGAGACATGCCATATTGAAATTGGGATGATTCAAGCAGTACAATTTATTTAAGAACACTTATAAAATATAGTGTACGTACCAGATATTATATGTCTGCATCATAATTTCAATTAAAATTTTGTTGCCAGCACCAGGCCCCCTCTTCATGACTCTATTTCCTTTTGTCCAACTACACAACATGGCAGCCAAATTTCAATTTTGGCGGTCAGTTGTTTGGTTCCTGTTGTGTATATTTATTGAGCATTGAGCCCAACATTGGAATTTATCTTGATCCCAATCAAATTGAATATTTACTGCTAAGGAAACTGCTTACATACTGCTAGCAAAACTGTTCTTTCCCCCAGTAGGGGTAAAGCTTAAACATACTGCTAAGGAAACTGCTTACTGCTTAGAAAACTGCTTATGAAAACTGTTTACTCCCCAGGCATTAGCAGTTATGAAACAACAGTAAAAATCAAACTGCCCTGCCTGAAACTGCTTGAAATTCATAAAACTGCTGAAGTACTGCTTAATAACTGCCTATATAGGCAGTTCATTTTTTCATGGCCTGGACATTTATGTTACACAATATTCTACTCACAGCTGACACGGAGTGTAACTAGAGCTGAGCTGTTGTTGAATCCTGGAGCTGCTGCCACACACCTGTATAATCCACTGTCTGTCTCAATGACCTTTGTAAACTTGAGATTACCCATCCCTACTTGCCTCACTCTATGCCCATCCTCAACTGATTCCCCTTTTGACTGGTCATCCATATCTAAAATGCAAAGAAAGAACAAGGTTCACTTAGGGCCTTTTTTGGCCCTGTGAATTTCTGAAAAACTGACACTGCTTAGTTTTAGTTGACAATGCATTTAATTTCATTTAGACTTTTGGTGATTGCGAATCTACCAAAAATGACGTAATTTTCTGGCTAGTCAATGCATTATGACGACATGAAATGCGTCATTTTCCTCATATCCTGAACAATTCTACAAAAAACAGCAAATTTTTAAAGCTATTTTTCGATATTTAATATAGAGCGCAGTCTCTGATCTAAAATATGCAATTATTTACTGATACAACCATTTCTAGGGATTACAAAACATGTTTTATTTTTTAGATCAGAGGGTGCACTCATATTATTTTTCTTTTCTGAATGTACTTAAATATACCTGTTTTCCTTAAAATTCAAGAACATGGCAATTCCATAAAGCTTGTTTTCCAAGACCTGGCCTCAAGACCATAAACTGAGAACAGACTTAAGACAAAATTTCAAACCAATATAACTTTTAAAATAATTTTGATAATGAAGCAAAATTTTATCATATATTTAAATTTAAATGTTATATAAAATTGCAAATTTTTAAGCTAATACATTAAATAAAACTCAAGATATCAAAAATCAAAATTTTGACTTAAGTCTATTTTCAGTTTATGGTCTTGGGGCCCGGACTTTAAGGAGAAAAAATTTGATAAGAAATGAAAGTCTCTACTTTATCTTGATGTTTAAAATTGGACATAAGGTGTTAGTCAATAAATTGGTATATCTACAGGGCCATTTTATGCATTAAGTGAACCTAGTTCTTTATTTATGGTAAGATATTAACAATTAACTTATTCTGATTTGTGACCATCAACTGATGCAAAATGTGCATGATTTCCAATTCAACTGAAATAAAATGTACCATACCCCCCCCCCCCCCCCCAAGCACCTGACTGGAGATTCAAGGGGAATGTTCAAATCCTGGTCTGGTCAGTCACATTTTTCTCCTCTCCCATTACATTTAATGCCATGCTATGCCCTGGAAGTGACAGCTGGTGAAAGACTTGCCAGGGAAGACCCTGGATTGGTGTTTTTTTTTTTGGGGGGGGGGGGGGCAAAAACCTTTAAGGAGGGAGACACGTGGCAGTCAGACGGGTTCGATTGGCGGTGGCCAGATAACTCAGTTGGTTGAGCACCAGACTGGAGATTCAGGGAACCTGGTTTGAATCCCGGTTTGGTCCATCACATTTTCCCTTTCCCCCTTTACACACTCAATCACTAGTCAGGTGCTCTATCAATTAACTGAGCTATACCTAGCCACCAAGGCTGACATCTCCAGTCTATAACAACCCAAACCACTACATTTTCAAATCCCAGTCTGGTCTGTTGCATTTTTCCCTTTCGCATTACATATGCAATATGAAGGATGAAAGAATGAGTTGATCAGACAGGGTTCAATTACGGGTGGAAAGATAGCTCAGTTTCTAGAGGACAGGCCGGCTGAGCCTGCATGACTGGAGATTCAGGAGGCCTGGGTTCAAATCTCTACATTTTGGAGTTATTTCCTGTGTCATGCAGTTAGTATAACACACTTATAATTAATATTTTTTTGGCAGTTCAACTGAAGACTTGATGTTAAACGATATATGGCCAGGTTATAAATGTAGCTATAACTTTCTTAGTATTTTTAATTCTTCTGTACACCAGTGTTTATTTTTAGAACACTTAGCACTGCCAGTAGGCAGGGCCGTATTGTTTTTTTTCTATATAGGTCATCATAATTCCTGCATATTTTTCTTATCCAGTTTATAATTTACTCAACTCATATGCCAATCAAATTATACTTCTGCCATAACTTTTCTACTCCTTTTTGCTTAATTTTGAAAGTCTTAACTGAGGCTCTTAAATTTTTGATTATTATCAATTGTTATCATTTTAAAAAGTTAATTCTATCTGTAATAAATTTATAAAACTTGAAATAGCTAGTGTTTTCATTTCACATTGATGATAATAATAGCCGTAGTTCAGAAATCCCCTTACCTGTGTTGAATATATTTTTAATCAGGGGTACCACTATAAACCAAGTTGGCTGGTAATTTTGACATTTGAATTCTAGAAGAGTTCTATTTCCTATTACAATTTTTAACCACCTTAATGGATACTCACTGACTTTCTGCCATGATATAGTAGGCGTCGGATTGCCATCTGCTTGGCACTCCAATATGGCTGAGCTTCCCACTGTTGAATTTACTTTTTCATTTACATACACTATCTTTGGAGCTCTAGATTTTTTTGCTGAAAAAAAAATTGAAGAATGAATTCAAGATTAATGGGAATCAAATTACAGAATGTACTCCTGGGATTTAAAATTTCAAACATTTAAAGAAAAAATCACCCCACTCCCTTTTTACAAATGTTTTACATTAACATTGGTTTAAAATCTTTTTTTCACGGAACCTTTAAATTTCCTGCTCTAAAGTTCATGAAAAAGGAGGTCAGGAGATGATGCAGCCCCTAAGTGTTTATGAATGTGACTCAGGGCATGATTGATTTGTCTTTTATAATCACCTGACAGAGCTAGTCCAAAAAATAAAACCAATGATACCAAACAATTTCAATTTTTCAGTGCCCCAAACAGTGTTTGCATAATTTTTTTTAAAAAATTCTGTTCAAAGAGAAGAAATAATTGAATTTTATGTTCATTAAAAGGATTGCATTGTTTCATACTCAATAAAAATTCAAGTAGTACAGTAAAACTTGTCTAATCTGGACACCACTGGTTCCAAAGGAAATGGCTGGATTAGACAATATTCCAGATTAGACGACATTTTAAAGAATTGAATTTACTGAAAGGGACTTTAATAAGGTTTACATCATATTAGACAAGATTTTGAACTACACAATTCCAGATAAGAAAAGTTTCACAGTAGTTGTCTAGCACTGGTGCAAACAGAAAAAAATAGATTTCAGAAAGCACTATTTATAATAACTTATCTCTCTTTTGTAAAGCCCATGAGATAAAGACTAAATTCATCTATATAATTATTAAACCAGAGAATTAAAAAAAATATATTTCTTTAATTTTACAAAAGTAGGTTATTTATATTGGTTTCTGTGTTTCACTATATATTACATTCAGTTCACTATTTTAAAAAAAAACTTAATCTGTGTTGTATATCATTTTCTTAAATCAAGCCCTATGAAATAATGCCAATAAGTATTTATTGATCGAACACTAGAGATGATGAAATTAAAGTTCTGGATTATTATCTATTTGACACCTTAACATACAAGTGTCAATCAGATTTTACTAGCTAGTATAATTAATGATCATCCTCACTACATAATAGACATTTTTAAATTCCATTCTTAATTTTTAGATTTGCATGATCTTTGATTATCTAATCACACAGTACTGGTATCTGAAATTAGAAATCTGAACTCTACACAAATGAAATTCATGGAAACAATCAAATTAGCAAATGCTGGATTCATCAATTATTGATTTACCGTTGTATTCTAAATGATTTTGTTTTTTCAATAATTGCTTTGTGGTATTATACTTTGAATATGCAAGGGAATATGAATTAAATGCCCCGAAATATTTGTTTAATAATATCTGGGAGGTCTCTGTTCTGAACTTAATTGTTAATTCTATTTGGTCTGTATCAACAACATGTCATCAGTACTTTGTTATGTTGAGTGTTCTGTATAATAGGCATATCATTATTAAACAGTGTCAATAAAGGGGCTCAGCATCCAGCTAATGGCCACTGACCAATCAAAGAACACAAACATTACAGGGTTCGACACTAACGTTAGTCTTAGACTAATACATTTTAATTCGGACTAATAAAATTTGTGGTTAATTAGTCTGAACGGACCAATAAAAATTCCTGGAAAACAATATGAATAATTTACCAATGTCCGATTCTCCACTTTTAGTGGAAAACCCCGCATTTATTTTTAGCTTTCTAGCTTCTTGGTGGGTAGTTAGACGTTTTCGAATAAGTGCTTAATTTTCAGACTGATTGATATGAAGTAAAACATTTTAGTGATCATAATTTATATGACACGCAAAAGAACGAGGTCAGACATTTTGGATGTAATGTAAAGAGAAAAAGAACAAGATCGGGAATACGATCGTACTCGTTAAATGCGAGATTTCAACCAATCTGTGCTGTGGAATAAACCATTTCACATGAATGCTTTGTTTATTTCAAAAAATTGAAATGTTTATTTTTAAATCAATGTTACAAAACATTGATGTTTCTTTTTTTGACGGACTCATAAAATTGCATGCGGACTAGTAAAAGTAAAGAAACACTAGTCCGGCCGGACTAAAGCCTAAAAAAGTTAGTGTCGAACCCTGCATTACAGCAACCAATTCAAAAAACAGTAATATTCAGTACTACCTCCAAATTTTGTCTTTTACAGAACACAGTAGTCAAATTTCATCTATCAATTATTTTGAGAGCAGGGCTTGTGAGGGGAAACAATCCTGACACTTGGAAGGGAAAGGGCCCCAGGTAAGGGGAAACAATCCTGACACTTGGAAGGGAAGGGGCTCCAGGTAAGGGGAAACAATCCTGACACTTGGAAGGGAAGGGGCTCCAGGTAAGGGGAAACAATCCTGACACTTGGAAGGGAGGGGCTGGTAAGGGGAAACAATCCTGACACTTGGAAGGGAAGGAGCCTCAGGTAAGGGGAAACAATCCTGACACTTGGAAGGAAAGGGGCTCCAGGTAAGGGGAAACAATCCTGACACTTGGAAGGGAAGGGGCTCCAGGTAAGGGGAAACAATCCTGACACTTGGAAGGGAGGGGCTGGTAAGGGGAAACAATCCTGACACTTGGAAGGGAGGGGCTGGTAAGGGGAAACAATCCTGACACTTGGAAGGGAGGGGCTGGTAAGGGGAAACAATCCTGACACTTGGAAGGGAAGGAGCCTCAGGTAAGGGGAAACAATCCTGACACTTGGAAGGGAAGGGGCTCCAGGTAAGGGGAAACAATCCTGACACTTGGAAGGGAAGGGGCTCCAGGTAAGGGGAAACAATCCTGACACTTGGAAGGGAGGGGCTGGTAAGGGGAAACAATCCTGACACTTGGAAGGGAGGGGCTGGTAAGGGGAAACAATCCTGACACTTGGAAGGGAAGGGGCTCCAGGTAAGGGGAAACAATCCTGACACTTGGAAGGGAAGGGGCTCCAGGTAAGGGGAAACAATCCTGACACTTGGAAGGGAAGGGGCTCCAGGTAAGGGGAAACAATCCTGACACTTGGAAATCATCATTTGTATGTACCGGTACATGTAAAACACAAATGCAGTGGTTATGAACTTTATTCTTAATAACAATCTCACAGTATTAATTAAATATCTTCTGAATAATATTTTCTCGAACATCCGGTAATAGTTTTTTTTCTGTTTTGTGGGATGTCCTTTATAATATTTGGCTTGTTTCAGAGTTAATTCTCAATCTTAGGTGGTTTAGCATATTCTTTGTCCTACCTGTGTATGTTAATTCCATTTCAACTATTTTACACCTTACGGATTTAAATTCAGTCACTTTTTAAAATTATTTTGATGCATAGCGACATATGGTGGCGTCCTCTTTAATCTTGTACTGCGGACTAACACAGATTTGTGTGAAGTAATTATAATTAACTCCAGATTTCAAAACTTGTATACCCCTTAGCAATGAAAGCCACCAATTACATAAACTGTGAAATACTTATCAAAACAAATTGACCGTATTTGTAAAACGCGAGGTCTAGTCTATCGTTAAATAATGGTAAATAAAATAAGGAAATTTAAACAAAATTACATTTTTCTTGATGATTTAAATATGTTAAAATGTAAAATTTTATACACCTTAAGCTAGGATAACATACATCTCTGCAACCCTCCCCCACCCACCCATCCATTACTAAAATATAAAAAACAACTCTAAATTTTCTCAAAAATACATGTATGTAATTTCCCCATCCATCTTTACGCTGATCTGTGCAATCAGTTTGCGCTGTTTTGAACAATTTAGTCATGTACATCTATGCTATCTTTCTTAAATCTCTGTTTCAGATCCCGGTGGAATGTATCAACATTCCTGTAGTTGTGATAAACATTTTTAAAATTGTTTCCTTAATGCCAGTGATCATTGTATCTACAACACAAATTTATATATACTCCGTCTTTCCGCCTGTTTCAAAACAACATTGCCCCTTTCATAATCAATATGATGATTTTGTCTTTGACGAATAAGCCATTTTTAAAATTCAGATTTGGATGAGTATTAAATGAGACATCCTGGGATGTGAGTCTAAATAAATGTGTGTTTTATTGACCATTGCATGTATATGCCACATGTTTTGTGGGAAAAAATCATGAATAAATCACATTGTTATGATAACTTTAAATTAGATCTGAACTACATGTATTAGATTTATAAAGAATATTGCTTCCTATATCTGATTTATACCTGTGCATAATAAAAAAAAATTGAGATCAAATTTTCCGTTTTCCGTTCCGTTTTCCGTTCCACATTTTAGCAACACCCTTTTAATATGTATTAAAATATTGAAAATATATTTTTCTATCTGAGATGATGCCTACAGTTCTTACCATTCACCCGTCGATCAATTGAGTAGGTGGAAATAACTTAATAAATCTATACAATTACACAATATATCCATTTTCAGAAAAACAGAGGAAATTCGGATTAAAAGTTGGCAATGTTTTTACAGTGAGTGTTTTTAAACATGTGTTATGACTGTAGCTTTGCTAAATGAGTTGAATTGATGAAAATTACAGACAATCTGACAATTTTACTCTGTGTTTTTCAAAGATAATTAAATATAAAAGCATTGTTCACCATTTGGGAAAAATACTGCCAAATTGGGAAAAATTAAACTCATTTTCAATTGGGAATGGGGCTGAATTTCGGCCCCTGAGAAGGTACTGATAAATCCCTGAAAGATTGACTTTTTTAAAGGGGGGGATTATAAATTCTTATGTTCGATAAATATTGATTTTATTTATTTGTCATTTTAATAACACATTCCAGGAGGGAAAAAAATCTCAATTATATACAACTTAAAAACAAATGAAAGAAAAAAGAGAAAAAAAAAAACACCAGCATGATATAAAATGTTTTAATTTGTAGAACCAACAAAAATTCTATTGTTGGAAGCATTCACAGATATAAGTCAAAGTTACTGATAAAATCTTTGATTTTTGGAGACTTTATCATTTGCAGCGATGACTTAGATTTTCCTCCGAAATAATTTGTAATACCCGCATGGCCACATAGTACATCAACCAAACACGGGTAACGTCAATATCTAGGTGGAAAGTGTATAAGATATTTATGATTTGGGAGCATTAAATTTTTGTTTTCAAATTCTTAAATTAAAATCCCAAGCATGTAATTCAGTATATTGACAAGTATAAAATAATAAAATGAAGGTAAATTTGATATGGAAGTGATTTTTGGGAACGTAACTGCCGTGTACACTTTCAATAAAAATTGGACCTAAGGAAAATAAAGATAGTTTAAGGATTTTTATTTTCTTTAATTTTACTACTAGTTAAGTTTAAACTGCATATTCTAAAAAAATAATTGCTAATACATTTGCATCATTGTGTTTACCAGTCATAACAATTAAAAATGACGTCATCGATACATAGTTCTAAACGTGCAGGCTGCGAGAAGTTTGAGGACGATTTTAGGGTATGAACAAATTTAGGGTATACAACGATATAATACATTAAGAAAAAGTTAGGTCAAGGTCAAAAAATTTTGATGCAGTTGAATAGCTCTTATCAATATGTATCAGCATATGAAGTTCGATGAAAATATCTTGGAATATTTTTTTTTTTTTGGAAACTGAGCTAAACATAAAGCATGACAGAAGGACAGATGGCAAGACGGAAGGACAGAAAGACCCAAGGAGGGAAGACAAACTATATGCCCGGCCATTTTATTATGGATAGCTATACAGTAAAACTGGATGTTGTGTAATCCAAAATCTTGCTTGATGCGATGTCAACTTTAAGTCCCTTTCAATAAATTTATTTGTTTAAATTGTTGTCAATCTGTAATGTTGTCTAATCTGGCCAAGCAGCCAATATCTTCACTGAGGATACTGTAGACGTACTTTTTTCCGCGTGGTATTAATTAAAGCTATGTACACAGTCACAAGTTTTCCGTGGAAATTTGTCACAGCATACTTTCTGTTATTACACTGAGGACATTTATATATCAGTTTTATTACACTGGAGATAGATTTACTTGTTTCTATGTTGTTTTCTTAAGATAGTTACCTTCGAGTAATGTTTCATTGCGGACAGTGAGTTCTGCCTCTCTGCTGTGTCTAAACACTGCTAGATGTAGGTCTTCCACTTTTTCACCCAGTGTGATTAACACTGAGCAGGAATAAGGCCCCTCATCAGATACCTGTACACCGTGTATCTGTAGGACTCCAGTAGGCAGCTCTGTGTACCTATCAAAAATTAACAATTAATTAAGTACTGGCTTTGATTAATGTCATCCAACAATACTAAATATCAAATCCAATTCATAGCCAGGTAGTTATATATATTCATTACAATTCACACAAATGGAAAACATTACAAATTTTCTCTAAGATTGATTAAGAAAGTTAATAAATTTGATAGTTGTATACAAAATGATTCTCTAGATGCATTTACAAAATAGATCATTTTGTGGTGAGGCAAATTAAAATTAAACACGGAGATAATAAATCATGAACCAGTTGAAATAAAGAATTTTCCCAAGCTTTTAAGAAGATTTTTAAAGATTTTTTCCAAATGAATGTATTCCTATATGTAAAACTTTAATTGCCCATTGTGGCCCCACGCTACCCCCAGGGGTCATGATTTGAACAAACTTGATTCTACACTACCTGTTCAAGCACAGTGGTTCTTGAGAAGATTTTTAAATGATGCCATTAATTTTTCATAAATTCATAATTATCTCCCTTTGGATGATGATGTGGCCCTTCATTTGAACAAACTTGAATTCTCTTTACCCAAGGATACTTTGTGGCAATTTTGGTTGAAATTGGCCCAGTGGTTCTTGAGAAGAAGATGAAAATGTGAAAGTTTACAACAACGACAACAACAACAACGATGACAGACAAAAGACAAATTTTGATCAGAAAAGCTCACTTGAGTCTTTGGCTCAGGTGAGCTAGATAGGGGTGGGGAGAAAAGTGTAAAATTCTACTTAGTATGTTAATTATATTATACCTGTTATCTGAGGGAAGTTGTTTTCTATTCTTATAATCCCTTCACAACAGAGTTGCGGAGGGGATATAAATTTAGTAACGCACTATGTGTGTGTGAGTTAGTTTTTCCTTGTGACAGTGTGCGAAATGGAAGTGACGTAATTTGCACCAGGATCAAATGTTGTCTTGATTTTCATATATGTATATTTTTAATTTATTCATCTTTTGTGTGATCTCATATTCCCATCACAGAAATAAAATTGAACAAGGGGATAATAAAATATGACATAGGCAAGAGCAAAGCAAGGCAAGAGTTGTAGTTAAACAATAATAGATACAAAGTATGGCACTTGCATTCTGTTATAACTTGGAAAAGATTCATAATAAACACTCAGATCAAATAAATTTACACTGATTAATAAATCAAACTGTAGCAGCAGTCCACATACCTCATGACATGGAACATATTAAACCTCAACATGCTCATTGACAGTATTCAAAACCTATAGTGTCAAACTTTTTATTTACTTCGTTAGTATTATTAAAGTATTCTCCAAGGAAAATACAGAAAGTAAAATTGTGTTTCCTTTTGGAAAAAAAACAATTATCTTCTTGCAATATCGTTAGAGAGGATATAGTAAAGCTCTTTGTGTGTGTGTGTGTGTGTGTGTGTGTGTGTGTATAACGGTATAAGTAAGAAATAATTCATATCTGGATCGATATGCTCTTTTGTGAGGGGATGCTCAGCTTTGCAGTGCCCTTGTTCCATGTGCATGATGTGTATTTAGTATGTTAATTATATAATACCTGTAGCTTGAGGGAAGGTGTCTTCTATTCTTATTCCATATGTTTTCATATATAGTATATCAATTATCTCATACCTGTTGTTTGCAGGAAGTTGTCTTCTATTCTTATTCCATATGTATTAAGTATATTAATTAAATCATACCTGTTGTTTGCGGGAAGTTGTCTTCTATTCTTATTCCATATATATTTCCTGACCTGGATGGGCAGTTTGGCTTTCAGTTGACACTCAAATCTAGCCACACCCCCTGGATCTACCACCTGGTTCTTGGGAACTTTGATAAATGACTTTGAAATTCCTATTAACAAACAAGGAAACAATTGAGCTCTTCAAAAAAAAAAACAAGTCTGCACACAATCAAGTCCTATGAAAAAAAAATCTACTCACAATCAATTCAAGTCCTACCAAAAAAATACCCCAAATCAATTCAAGTCCTATGAAAATCAAGTTTTAAGTCCTACAAATAAACCTGCCAACAATCAATTCAGGTCCTACAAAAATTGCCCACAATCAATTCAAGTCCTAAAAAATAAAAATCTGTTTACAATCAATTTAAGTCTTAAAAAATATCAAAATATGCCCAAAATTGATTCAAGTCCTAAACAAATGATCTGCCCATAATTAATTCAAGTCATATCAAAAATAATCTCTGCCCATAATCAATTCAAGTCATATCAAAACTAATCTCTGTCCATAATCAATTCAAGTCCTACAAAAAAAACCCCAAAATCTGCCCATAATCAATTTAAGTCCTACAAAAAACATGAGGCCCTTGGGCCACAAGGTTCACCTGTATTACTATGGCCCTTAATTCTGTTCTTTATCAGTAGATTTTCCCTATGAAGTCCTATAAAACCCCAAAAATATGCCCAAAATCAATTCTAGTCCTGCAAAAAATATGCCCACAATCAATTTAAGTCATACAAAAAACCCCCAAAATTTGCCCATAATCTTTTCAAGTCCTACAAAAAAAAATCTGTGAGTCAATTCATATCAACAATTCTCAAGCAATTCATTAAATTTATTGCTGGGAGATTACTTTGCTGGGTGTAAAATTTACTGAATATTTTTTGCATCTACAATCTTTAAAGTTAAATTAAAAGTAATATTATATCAAACTATTATTTTTTATAATATTTTGTTGCCAAAATTTATTCACTAAAACAAGCTAAAATTGTCATCCCAGTGGAGTGGGATGTAACTCTTTTGTCTCTATATGCTGTTTTTAAATATACCGTTTTCGACTGATAGGTCCTACATAAAAAGAGAGAAGGCTTGCAACTCTTTTCTCGTCGTCTGCCTCACCTCACTTCAACTTCGCCTGATTATTTAAATCTAAAGCATAAGAACACCAGTGATTTTTCTACATTTTTTAAAAGAGGCCTGGGCCTTTACAATTGGGAAAAATCATTGACATTTGTGTCAAATTGGGAAAAATCAATAAGATTGTAATTTAACCTTACATCCTTTATTCAATTTATTTGCTACAAAATATCAAATTAGACACGGTTCTAAACTTTTAACCTTTTTTTAACCCTTTGTTTTAATCTGTGAAAATTGTCATTAATTGTGACCAACCTATATTTCCTTTTTTTGTTTTAATTGCCATAATGGTAGACATAAGAGAAAATCCTTCTCGTAATAGCCATTGAAGATAGAATAATCTGACATGATTTATGACAAATCATTTATTTTTCAAACTAATTATTAAAGCTTTCTAGTTACCCTAGCTATTCATATTGCTGCAATTTCTCTGTAATACTAGTTTTTTTCTAAAAATCTGCCGGGTGTAGAAACAGTTTGATTTTCGTGAAATCAGGGATGCTTGTTGTAGAACTATTAGTACTTGGATTTACAAGTAAAGCTATGTTTCGCCGGTTCACAAGCATCTTACACTTTCTTATGATGTATTTACACACAAGTTTGACATGACCCATGTGTTTTTCTAGGTCTTGTAAATGCACGAGGTAATCTGCTGTTCCTTACTATTATTTTAAGAGTTTGAATGACTGAGAACAAAAGCGTTCCACTGTACATAAGTCATACATAAAAAATTCAATATAACAAAGACAACAATGGTTTTGTTTTGGGAAAAAAAACAACAGAAATTGGGAAAAAATCGGTAAATTTTGAGAGGGGAAAGGGCCGATATTCGGATCTAAATTGGGTGTAGAAAAATCACTGAACACATGGAATATGCATACGTCAATAAACTTGTTACTCATTCTTCTTTCTTTTCATATTTCCATTTAATTTTTATGTGCCCCCGATTTGTAAATATTTCGATTAAATCAACCGCATCTAGGGTAAGTTTATTTGATGTCCACTAGCTGGGACGGAAGTGCAATAGATCTAACAGTAGATCTAACTCTAACTTTACAAATGTTCTGCATTAAATAAAAATTCCAAGCTATGTGATAAAAATATGGAGAAATTTGGTTGTCTAGGTCGTATGTTTAATGTTAATCTTCATCCATTAGAATCTGCTAGTTAGAGTTATCTTGTTATACACAGAACTTACCGTTACATGTAATATGAAGAGAAAATTCGGGATTTTTCCCCTCTTGCATTTAATGTTCCGAATGACATTACACTTAATGATGACGCCCGAAAATACCAGACACTTCCGTCCCAGCTAGTTCACATCAAGTTGATCAACAAAATTTACTCTAGATGCCGTTGATTTAATCAAAATATTTACAAATCGGGGGCACATAAAAATTAAATGGAAATATGAAAAGGAAGAAGAATGTGTAACAAATTTATTGATGTATGCATATTCCATGTTATTATGCTTTAGATAAATAATCAGGCGAAGTTTAAGCGAGGTGAGGCAGACGACGAGGAAAGAGTTGCAAGCCTTCTGAGGCTTCTCTCTTTTTATGTATCAGTCGAAAACGGTATACATGTATTTAAAAACAGCATATAGAGACAAAAGAGTTACATTATTGATAATATATAGTGCATATTAGAACATAAAAACAGGGAAAAGGTGACTCGACCCCAGATTTAAAAAAAAAAAGGAAAAAGGGGGGGGGGTCCATACCCCAAGTGCCTGTGGAAAATTCATATAAATATCTATATTAATATGAAAAATCATTCAAATATGTTAATTTTTGAAAATTGACTTGGAGGTAGGCGATTAAATTCAATGTACATGTAGGTCAGAGTTTCCTTCATTTCACTCTTCATGGAAAAAAGACTAAATCTTGTTTATGAAAATATTACCCACATCACGCTCATCTGTATGTCTAAAGATATTCGGTATGATATAACTGAGCCCTTTAAATTGTAAGGTTATCTATTAGTTAGATGTTTGTTATTTTAAAAACAAAACAAAACACACAGTTGTATGAATAATCTGAGAGGATTTATTCACACAATTCCATAAAGTCAAAAAATCTTCTGTCAGATCAGACAAGTGTTTGTGGAGACTGACTTGTCAAAATCAAATACTTAGAGTTGTGTATCTTAGTAAAGTCTACTTGTGTAACAGGTCTTATTTATATCAGACCAAATCTGCAGGAGGCATATAGCATTTTGAAAAATTGTTTAGAGACGGACAGATAGACAGAGGATGGTCACCTTACTAATGCGTAAGCTTTTCTGGTCTCTGATGACCAGTAGAGCTTAAAAAACAGATTGTGTCTCCATGATGTGACTGACTTTAAAAAAACCTGAATAATACATTTTTCCTTGGGGGGGGGGGGGGGGGGGGGGCAGAAACATTTCTTTTATTAATTATATTTTTATCAGATTTGATTCCCTCTGTATAATGTCAGTTTCAATTCTTAGATGGGTCAAGTAGCATTTGTTTTTTCAGACCAGAAAACCTGGCATCACCCATGTAAAGAAATAATTATACATAAATGTTTGATAGCATAATTGAGCCCATAAGTAGATATTATAAATTTGATTTACTTAATCTCAATGACAACATAATAAAAGGAGTGGAATAATTGTTTGATATAACCTATACTTTATTACTCTGTTTTCTCTGTGTTGTCATATATTGCAGCCACTCAATTATATGCCTTGATTTTAATGCACTTATTTTTAAATAATGATTCACTCAGGAATAAAATGCAACATGTACCCTTCAACTGCATTGCAAATTTGGAAAATTTACATTCACCTGCCCTTGATTGAAAATTTAAGGTTGATAAATATGCATGAAAAGTGGAGCTTGTAAGAATGGATCTAAAATTAAAGGTATTAGATTTATTTATATAGAAAAAAATATCTCTCTCTCTCAGGCTTGTATGGCACCTGAGAATTTACAAAATATTAAAAAACAAAATTAAAAATCAATCGTTAGCATGAACACGTAGGTACAGATGATCATAAATCAAATCCTGACAGTTTTACGTGTTCAAACACAATTTCCTCCATGTAGATGAAATAAGGCCAGGAATGAGACTCATGATAAATGAGCAGACTGTAACAAAAGTTTTTTTTAGCTACTCAAGATAGTGAATGTAATCACAATTCTTTTTTGCTTCTCTGTGTAATTTTTAGCTCTACTGGTCAGAGACCAGAAGAGTTTATGCGATAGTAAGGTGTCCGTCGTCCGTCCATCTGTCTGTCTGTCTGTAAACAATTTTTTAAAATGCTACTCCTCCTACAGTTTTGGTCTGATTTCAATATTACTTGGCACACAAGTAGACTACACTAAGATACATAATTCTGTGTAACAGTTTTTAATTTCGATGAACGGTGTTGCCATGGTTACTAAAAATAGAAATTTCTGTGAAATACATTCAAAATGCTACTCCTCCTACAGTTTTGGTCTGATTTCAATATAACTTGGCACAAAAGTAGACTACACTAAGATACATAATTCTGTGTATCGGTTTTTGATTTCGGTGAATGGTGTTGTGATGGTTTCTAAAAAAAATTTCTGTGAAATACATTCAAAATGCTACTCCTCCTACAGTTTTGGTCTGATTTCAGTATAACTTGGCACAAAAGTAGACTACACTAAGATACATAATTCTGTGTATCAGTTTTTAATTTCGGTGAATGGTATGTGTTGTGATGGTTTCTAAAAAAAATTTCTGTGAAATACATTCAAAATGCTACTCCTCCTACAGTTTTGGCCTGATTTCAATATAACTTGGCACACAAGTAGACTACACTAAGATACATTACTCTGTTTATCGGTTTTTGATTTCGGTGAATGTTGTTGCCATGGTTACTAAAAATCGAAATTTCTGTGAAATACATTCAAAATGCTACTCCTCCTACAGTTTTGGTCTGATTTCAGTATAACTTGGCACAAAAGTAGACTACACTAAGATACATAATTCTGTGTATCGGTTTTTGATTTCGGTGAATGGTGTTGTGATGGTTTCTAAAAAAAATTTCTGGGAAATTCATTCAAAATGCTACTCCTCCTCAGGGTTCGACACTAACGTTAGTCCGTTAGTCTCAGACTAATGCATTTTCTTTCGGACTAATAAAATATGTGGCAAATTAGTCCGAACGGACCAATAAAAACTGAAAAACAATATGAATAAATTACCGATGTCCGATTCTCGACAACTTTTACTGGAAAACCCCGCGTGTATTTTTTAGATTTCTAGCTTTGGCGGGTAGTTACGCAAAAGCCAGGTCAATTCAGCGCTTAATTTTTCCGACTGATCGATATGAAGTATAAAGTGTTAGCGATCATGATTTAGTATGACACTTTTAAGTAAGATGTTGGACGTTCTGCATGTAATGTAAAGACAAAAAAAAAAAAAAACGAGATCGGGAAAACGATCGTCATTGCTGATTGCGAGATTTCAATGAATCTGTGGTATAATATATTTCACGTAAATACTTTGTTTATTTCAAAAAATAATATATACATTTGTGGTATCTCTCTATTATATAAACATGCAGAGAGCAAATATCTTCATACCTGTATGAAGTTTTTCGAAGGTCATAGGTCATTACGTGACCTAATCACACAGCGCAGTAATATCTACATAAAAAGACTTACTCCACTTAGCAATATAGCATGTTTTTCATGCATAAAAATGTACAAAATACGCAAGTAAAATAATAATCATTTTATTTACAATGTAAACGAGTATTTGTTACAGTTCTTGATCGATTTTACATAGAGAATAGAAAACTACGTGTTATAAGTTTCATGTCTGAGCTGCATAGTCTCAACGTTTACCCTTATTTTTCTCGCAGACCTCTGAATGCTTTAATTTTTTCATTAAACTTTACTCACAATAAATTTGAAAATCTGTTGAAAATATCAATGTAATGCAATCACGCCACAAACAGCTGATAAACACTGCACTTTGGAAGTTCGGTAGGCACACCTCCATCATCGAGATTGTTGTGATGTTGTCTTAACAATGTAAGCTGTCGCCAGTGTCTCCATGTCAACATCATATGCCTTACTGAATTCGTAGATTTTATGTTTTTGATCAAATTTTGTACTTGATTTTAAGCTGTCTGGTCCGGACAAGTGTCTCCATCCATCCCTTTCCGACCGAAATTCCTCCAACTTTTTATTATCAAACATCGGACGTGCTTCTTGTGGTTTTTAACATCGAATATGGGTTCTCATGAATACAAAAATTCCCAGTCACCAATATGCTAACTATAATTGATCACAAGTAGCCTTTCACAGAATATTCTCTTCAAAACAGAATCCTTTGCCAGATGAATTTGAAGCGTAACCGCTTTTCAAGCCGATTTACACCTACCGTAATTTGTCAAAATCTACGATGGACAGTTAGTGCAATATTTATATTCGATTACATTCGATTGTCCGTCTCAAATGTATATATAAGTAATAAATAACAAGTTTAAAAACTTCAATGGGAATTGAAGTGGGTCGGTACGTGATCAAATCTTCTGAGAAGGCCTTCGGCCTTCACAGGATTTGATCACGTGACCGACCCACTTCAATTAAGAAATAAATAACAAGTTTAAAAACTTCAATGGGAATTGAAGTGGGTCGGTCACGTGATCAAATCCTGTGAAGGCCGAAGGCCTTCTCAGAAGATTTGATCACGTACCGACCCACTTCAATTCCCATTGAAGTTTTTAAACTTGTTATTTATTACTTATATATACATTTGAGACGGACAATCGAATGTAATCGAATATAAATATTGCACTAACTGTCCATCGTAGATTTTGACAAATTACGGTAGGTGTAAATCGGCTTGAAAAGCGGTTACGCTTCAAATTCATCTGGCAAAGGATTCTGTTTTGAAGAGAATATTCTGTGAAAGGCTACTTGTGATCAATTATAGTTAGCATATTGGTGACTGGGAATTTTTGTATTCATGAGAACCCATATTCGATGTTAAAAACCACAAGAAACACGTCCGATGTTTGATAATAAAAAGTTGGAGGAATTTCGGTCGGAAAGGGATGGATGGAGACACTTGTCCGGACCAGACAGCTTAAAATCAAGTACAAAATTTGATCAAAAACATAAAATCTACGATTTCAGTAAGGCATATGATGTTGACATGGAGACACTGGCGACAGCTTACATTGTTAAGACAACATCACAACAATCTCGATGATGGAGGTGTGCCTACCGAACTTCCAAAGTGCAGTGTTTATCAGCTGTTTGTGGCGTGATTGCATTACATTGATATTTTCAACAGATTTTCAAATTTATTGTGAGTAAAGTTTAATGAAAAAATTAAAGCATTCAGAGGTCTGCGAGAAAAATAAGGGTAAACGTTGAGACTATGCAGCTCAGACATGAAACTTATAACACGTAGTTTTCTATTCTCTATGTAAAATCGATCAAGAACTGTAACAAATACTCGTTTACATTGTAAATAAAATGATTATTATTTTACTTGCGTATTTTGTACATTTTTATGCATGAAAAACATGCTATATTGCTAAGTGGAGTAAGTCTTTTTATGTAGATATTACTGCGCTGTGTGATTAGGTCACGTAATGACCTATGACCTTCGAAAAACTTCATACAGGTATGAAGATATTTGCTCTCTGCATGTTTATATAATAGAGAGATACCACAAATGTATATATTTCCCATTGAAGTTTTTAAACTTGTTATTTATTTCTTAAATACGTATATTAATTGTCACGTTAAATTATTGTTAAAAACATTGATGTTTCTTTTTTTTTGACGGACTAATAAAATCGCGTGCGGACTACTAAATGTAATGAAGCACTTGTCCGGCTGGACTAAAGCCTGAAAAAGTTAGTGTCGAACCCTGCTCCTCCTACAGTTTTGGCCTGATTTCAATATAACTTGGCACACAAGTAGATTACACTGAGATACATAATTCTGTATATCATTTTTTTTATTTTTGTGAAGTGTTGCCATGGTTACAAAAAATTGAATTTCTTTGATTGACTTTCAAAACATTATTTTGCCTACAGTTTGGTCTGATTTTAATATAACATGGCATGAAAGTAGACTACACTGAGATACATAATCGTCTTAATTGTTTTTTTTTTTTTTAATTTTGATGAATAATGCTGCCATGGTAACTAAAATCGACATTTCTCTAAAATTCTTTTAAATGGCTACTCCTTTTACAGTTTTAGTCTGATTGCAATTCATCTTGCCACAAAAAGAGAGTAAAACAAGGATTACTATTTATTTATTGCTGTTGCAAAGTTTCAAGTCCAAGTGCTACTTTTCTCTTCCTTAATTGTTATAAGTACAAACCAGTAGAGCTACAGTCTCGACAGAGACTTCCGGTTTACTGAGTGTGTTGTTTTAATTTGAGGGAGGCAAAGACAATCAACATCATACAAAACAGGAGTTTAGAAATCATGTGGTGAATTATAATATTCAACAGGTCACAATTTGGTCAAAATCACCGGGCTACTTATACAGAGAACAAATGTTCTAATTTCATAGCTTTTAAACCTGATGTGCACTTGTTTTTTTTTTTTTGTTATTGATCTCAATTTGACACAAATTTACATAAACAAATATACATCTAATACATCCATTATCAATAAATGTGGAAAAACAGACAAACATATAATGACTACATGTATTTATGATTCTACTACGGTTATTGCAAAGATCAAAGAAATGCTGCGGCCATCATCAACAAATTTTCAATAATTTTAAATTGGTTTTGACTGCTCTTACCAGGAAAAGAATCGAGGCCTCTTTTGATTGTGATGCAAATTAGTGGGAAAAAAAGTTTACTTCAAATTTGGATTACTTTGTACTTTTTCCAATGAGTGAAGTGCAAATGAATGAGAAGTAGCATTCAATTGTGACATAATAAGGCATTTATGTTGACATCTACTTCTCTGTTTCTCTATATAAGGAGTTTAAGAATTCACCAGAGCAGAATAGAAAACATTCCCTTATCGCCAAATTTTTTGGAGAATATACCCCTCAGTCTTGAAACATTGTTGGCAAATAAAATCTCTTGACTGTCGGGGTATATTCTCCAACAATTCCTCCTCCACGCGATTTATTTCTCAAATAATCAATAAACCAGAAGTCTCTGACAAAACTGCAGCTCTACTGGTTTGTACTCATAACAAAGGAGGTGAAATTTTAAGTTGCACTTGGACTTGAAACTTTGCAACAGCGATAAATAGAATAATGATCCTAGGTTAAGTCTCTTTTTGAGGCAAGATTTAATGCAAACAGACTAAAACTGTAGGAGGAGTAGCCTTTTGAAAGAGTTTTACAGACATGTCTATCTTTAGTAACCAGGGCAACACATATTTCTATAAATAAATGGTCCAATGATATTCAGATGTGGAGATTAGCCAGCCCTGTCAGTTTGCAATACACACAAACACACATTATACTAACGTATTATCTTTATCTTTACGCTCCTTCCAATCACTGTTCCCATGGGAACGGTCATGTGACACTCATAGAGTCCTTCATCATCCCAGCCCCGTCTTTTCTTCTTTTTAGTACTTGGGATGTATAAAGACCCATTCTGGCTCACTGTCACTCTTTGGTCTGATGTCACAATCTTACCATCCTTGAACCATGAGTACTTAACCCCTGATTCAGTCCACCAAGTCATAGAATCTGTGCAGTTCAGTAACAGAGGAGAATTCTGAAGGACTTCAACAACTTTAGGGGTATTCTTTATCACTTCATAACTTGGTATGCTTGAGGCTGAAAGAGAATTTACAATATATTTGATAATTAAGAGATCAACAAAAGATGAACAAATTGATATAGTTCTGAATTAGAAAAGCTGACATTGGAGTCTTTGGTTCAGATGATCTGAAAACTGCCTATGTCCTTTCTTCACAATTTACAAGATTTTGAAACAAATGTTTTATATGTATGCCCTGCTTTGAAACAAACAATTTTTATGCATAATTTTTTCAAACCATTTGAAGAGAAAAACGTTGATGTTGTTACTCAAGTAATACCAAAGAAACCCTTAACTGTCAAGAAACCCATATATTGAAGCAAATAAGAATATTTATATTGAAGTCAGCCCTAAGAATGACTTGTTAGTCAATAACAGACATATTTAATTGGCAGAAACTGTCATACCCAGTAAATCCAATGATGTTTCAAATGCCTCTGCAAGTCAAAATCGATGTTGCAAATTTGAAGAAGAAAAAAAAAACAGCATATTTTCTTTTTAAGCCACAAATAAAACAAGAGGCCCATGGGCCACATCGCTCACCTGAGCACATTGGCTAGGCAAAAGCACAAAAGCACAAATCAGTTCAGTATTGAAAGGGTTACCGGGGGAGGGGGGGGGGGGGGAGGGGGGATACCTGATGATGCTTCCATGTCAATATAACAAATGGCTTTGTTGTACTTGAGTAAATTTTGAAAAATTTTTCCCATATAATCCTTTGTAAAAATTTGATCCCCCATTGTGGCTCCTCCCTATCCCAGAGGTCAATATTTGAAAATTTGAATCTACACTACCTGAGGATGCTTCCATTTCAATATGACTAAACATAGCTTTTCTGTTCTTGAGAAGAAATATTTTTTCTGCATGTTCTTATGTAAAACTTTCAATCCCCCATTGGGCCCCACCCTACCCCAGGGGTCATCATTTGAACGAATTTGAATTTACACTATCTGAGGATGCTTCCATATCAAAATGACTAAACATGATTTTCAGTTCTTGAGAAGAGGATATTTCCTATATGTTCCTATGTAAAATTTTCGACCCCCCATTGTGGCCCATCCCTATCCCCGGGGGGTCATCATTTTAACAAACTTGAATTTACACTACCTGAGGATGCTTCCATATCAAAATGACTAATCATGGCTTTACAGTTCTTCATCAGAAGATATTTACCTATATATTTCTATTTAAGACTTTGATCCTCCATTGTGGCCCCGCCCTACCCCAGGGGGTCATGATTTGAACAATCTTGAATTTACACAACCTGAGGATACTTCCAAATAAATATGATCAATCAGGGCTTTGCTGTTCCTGAGAAGAAGATTTTTAAAATTTTTCCTATATATTTCTATGTAAAACTTTGATCCTCCATTGTGGCCCCGCCCTACACCAAGGGGTCATGATTTGAACAAATTTGAATTTTTACAACCTGAGGATGCTTCCACATAAATATGACCAATCAAGGCTTTGCTGTTCCTGAGAAGAAGATTTTTTAAAGATTTTTCCTATATATTTCTATGTAAAACTTTGATCCTCCATTGTGGCCCCGCCCTACCCTCGGGGGTCATGATTTGAACAAATTTGAATTTTTACTATCTGAGGATGCTTCCATATAAATATGACTAATCAGGGCTTTGCTGTTCTTGAGAAGAAGATTTTTTAAAGATTTTTCCTATACATTTCTATGTAAAACTTTGATCCTCCATTGTGGCCCTGCCCTACCCTCGGGGGTCATGATTTGAACAAACTTGAATCTTCACTACTTGAGGATGCTTCCATATGAATATGACTCATCATGGCTTTGCTGTTCTTGAGAAGAAGATTTTTAAAGGTTTTTCCTATTTATTTCTATGTAAAACTTTGATCCTCAATTGTGGCCCCGCCCTACCCCCGGGTGTCATGATTTGAACAAACTTGAATCTACACTACCTGAGGATGCTTTCATATAAATATGACCAATTAGGGCTTTGCTGTTCTTGAGAAGAAGATTTTTAAAGATTTTTCCTATATATTTCTATGTAAAACTTTGATCCTCCATTGTGGCCCCGCCCTACCCCCGGGGGTCATGATTTGAACAAATTTGAATTTTTACTACCTGAGCATGCTTCTATATAAATATGACTCATCATGGCTTTGCTGTTCTTGAGAAGAAGATTTTTAAAGGTTTTTCCTATATATTTCTATGTAAAACTTTGATCCTCCATTGTGGCCCCACCCTACCCCCGGGGGTCATGATTTGAACAAACTTGAATCTACACTACCTGAGAATGCTTCCACATGAGTTTCATCTTCCCTGGCTCTGTTGTTCTTGACAAGAAGATTTTTAAAAGATGCTATTAATTTTTCACTAATTCTTTATTATCTCCCCTTGAAAGAGGGCATGGCCCTTCATTTGAAGAAACCTGAATCCCCTTCACCCAAGGATACTTTGTGGCAAGTTTGGTTGAAATCGGCTCAGTGGTTCTTGAGAAGAAGATGAAAATGTGAAAAGTTTACGACAACAACGACGCCGACGACGCCGACAGACAACGGACAAATTTTGATCAGAAAAGCTCACTTGAGCCTTTGGCTCAGGTGAGCTAAAAAGAAATATCTTTGTCAGTCTGCAATAAAGTTATAGTGCTCAGTGATTCTTCAGGTATGGGTCTTAGCAATAATTAGAATGCCAACAGCAAGCTAGAATTACCATCAGTCGGTCCACAGTACTCATTTCTATAGAGCTTTTAGTATTAAATGTTCCTTAATTATTGACACATTTTCTTTTCTTCTTTTTCAGTAACTAGGACAAGGTCACAAGATAGACTTAATGTGTGCATGACCCTGAGTCCCAATGTCTTACTGGGCATAATTCGGCAATGCAAGCTAGCCTAATAATGGGGTAATTCAGCTCAACTTTGGGCTTAGGGAATGTGAGAAAGCACACAAAGTCTAAATTTTTGGGATAACAACGACCATTTATAAAAGTAATAAGTAATTTCCAAAAATATAAAAACACAAAAATGCAAGTCCAGATCCTTAGACTAAAATTTATTTGAAGTTGGCCTAAACAGAGTGGCCAAAAAGAAAAAAACAGACCTCTCTGATATATCATAAGACTGTAGCTCTGCTGGTTTGTTTGCCTTTAAAGTGGCAATTAATTTTTACTGGACTTGAAACACTTTTAAATTTTATACATTTAGATAATTGCATACATATATTTATCCAACTTCTAATGAAATCAAAACCAAAACTGTAGACGGAGGTAGCATTTTGGGAGAATTTTACAATTTTTCTATTTCAAGTTAGAACGTTTGACTGCTTCACCATATGAGAAAAAAAGAACAATTTAAATATACAAAGCATATAAAAATAATTATTGTTACATCTTTAAAATGGTTTCCTCTATGAATCTACACTAAAAAGAAAGTCTAATATTTCCAATGTTTTACTGAGTGGTCCAAAAAATCAATGTTGGACAAGTGAGAGAGATGTTGGTCCTGTTGATGATATATTAGACCAGTATTACGTCACACGATAGGAGGGATCAGCTATTTCGGATTTCCAAGGTTTTGGCATGAGCATCACTGAAGAGACATAATTTGTCGAAATGTGCATCTGGTGCATCAAAATTGGTCATATATAATTTACATTATGACCCCTGGGTCAAGGCCTCTGCTGGTGGACTGTTAGTCCCCGAGGGTCTCTACAGCCCAGCTAGCTAAGTACTAGCTAAGTAGCTTGAAAATATGGATATGTATTTAATTGCTGTGGTAAAATTTAGAAATTTATTTCAAAATTAAGGATTATCTCCCTCTTGCATAGCTCTGATCCTTCGACCTATTCAGCTCCAGTCTTTGGCATTCTTTTTTCAGCTCTTCAAAGTCTTTTTTATTTAAATATTTCAGATTTCCAACGTTTTGGCATGAGCATCATTGAAGAGACATAATTTGTCGAAATGCACACCTGGTGCATCAAATTTGGTACCATATATGATTTACACTATTCTTATTTGCTTTTGTTGGTGCTCAAAAGTTATGGAATTGACCAAGTTAAATCCACAGTGTGGATATAACCAAAATTTTTACATCAACTTGTAACATCAAACAAACATGGAAGGCAGTGCAAAATATGTCAAAATAAGAAGTAAAAGGTATATAGTACAATCTCTGTTATCCTTGGACTTTCAGTAAGGCGTGGCATTCGTGACGCTACATAATTAGTGTCTCTCAAATGGTGACCTAGATTCTCATTGGTTGCTAGCTCATCAATATTCATTACCTAGGACAAACAAGTACATTGTAGAATGATGTCAGTTCGAATTACATGTGTATCTTATATTATTCCATACAAGTTGAGAAAAGAAAACACAAAATTGTGGAGTGTTGATCATTTCTTTCCGCTTGTTGTCTAGTTCGCAAACATAAGCATGAGTTAGAGTTTATATTTCAATGACATAAATAATTACTGTAAATCACATTTTATTCACGAGAACTTTTACTTTCGCGTAATTACGCGAGACTGTCTGCTCCCGAAAATTTCATTCTAGTGTATATTTGTATAAGTAAGGATTATATACAAGAAAAACCATAGCTTGCGAAATATTTATCTCGCCAAAAAATACCAAAAAGCTATCTCGTGAAAATAAGGTGTCGCACAAACATAGTGATTTACAGTATATATATAGGTTAAAATTTTTATTATTTTTTTTGGTCGCAAATGGCAACTAATAGTTCCTCACATGGGAGCACTTGCCCTGGAACATATTAGGATCCTGCATAGCAGGTGTAAACTTGGATGGTGAACAGAATATTTCCAATACGTAGGTTGCAAAGAAGTCAGGCCTGTAGCAACGCTTTTTAAAATAGAGGGGGAGCTTAAAAATGACAAGAGAGGGAGATTTCCTAAACTGCCTCAAGTCCAACTTAAATCGCTTAATTTAGCATCTGTTTAGAGGGGATCTATAGCTACCAACACTATACGAAATACCCTGGAAGTTAAAATTTTAATATCTCTACAGTAAAATTATTACGAAGTTAAA